AGGGAATAACACCTATTAAACTTTGGCTAACCAAGACTATGTATGTATGGGTACTCAGTCGTGGTTCTTGGGAATAAAATGGAACATGTTAGCTTGGGATAGCAGATGAATACTAAGGGTAGAAGGACAAACCGTGCGAGTGGACAAATCCAGGAGGAGTCCCTTGAGGAGGAAAACAAGAGTGTGCAGTGTCTGTGTCTACTGCTCTAGAAAGTCATGTAACTCTAGGCTTTAAAGCCCACAATATCCATATACTTGATTTCACAGAGAGGATGCATGCAGTGAAAGAATTGGGATTTGGGGTTATTCTTATTACATCGATTTGACATTATTGCCAGAAATAGGTACTTATGGGGTGCTATAAGACGCTACAAGAAGAATGGCACTACGAGACACTCAAACTACATCTCTTATGTTCTCTAACTTGCTTTCCAAATGCACTGAAACCTGCAAACAGCTGGAGATAGCCATTTTTTACACAAAAATTAACTTTCTCCAGTACGGGGCCCATGTGGGATTTAAAAACTTGGGGTTTTTTCTGCTTATTATCTTCCTTATGTCTGCCTTAAGAAAATGTATGTCTTTCGACTACTTCTCCTCCTGCCCCCAGCCGCACTAGTGACACCCGTGGAGCAGCTGCAGCCCCGTGGCAGCGCAGAGGGCCTGGGGCAGCCAGGCCAGCACGAGGCCTCCGCACCACGTGGAATCACAGGCTCCGTTTGTGCCTCCGCCTTGCACAGCCAGCAGCTTCGTTACATGCTGTTGGAGTTGTTTTGGGTTTTTTTTTATTCTTTTTTGGTTTGCTTCTTTAGTTTGAAGGTATGGGAGAAAAAAGAAAACACCAAAAAAAGCAGATTACTTCATAGCAACCCGCACTATCAAGCAAGCTACCTGGCTGTCCTGTGTGCACATGTCATGCGACTCTTCATCAGCACTATTCTTGCATGGTCTTTGTAACATACAACATGTGCAGGCTCTAATGGTAATTAATTAAATGATAATTTGATTTTATTAGTGGTAAAACCACTTACTGTACCTGCTTGCAGCCTGCTGCAGGACCTGGCTCAAATACTGAGAAAAGGGACTGTTCAAAGTCCTTGAACAGCAGAGAAGTTAGTTACACAAGTGAAGTCACCAGCATGAAACAATACTTTTTTGTTTTTTCTTAGCACAGAATTCCCCCTCATGCCTGGAGATGAATTCGGCCTTAAAGCCCAAGCCCTGATAGCACAGGCCACCAGTACTGAAACTCTGAAACCCTTCAAGGATTTGGCTCATCATGACAGGGAACATAAATCTACTCCCTAATTAAAAGGAAACCTTTTAATTACTCATTGAAAGAACAAAAAATAAATAAAAATAAATAAAAATAAAAATAAAAATAAAAATAAAAATAAAAATAAAAATAAAAATAAAAGTGATGACAATCTGGCAAAAGACTTTGTCTATGAGGTTCCCAAACCCCCAGTTTGATACTCATACTTCACCAGGCAGCCAGCACATCCGAGGCACTAAACACAGCACTGGGCAGCAGCCAGCGCACGGGAAACTTTGGCTGCAAATCCCCTACCTGCAGCCAATGCAGGCTCAGTGCAGGGTAGCTCAGCACAGGGTGAGGTGTATGGGAAGAAGGCATGTGGTTTATATGCACTTCAGTTTTTCCATAATAGAGTATGAATATGGTACAACACAGCAGCATGGTGTCATAACACAGCAGAGTCAAAATGACTCCATCAATAAATAAATAAATAAATAAAAGCAATATCTATGGAAAGACTAGGAAGGAGTACAGGCTCATACTTCTAGGTCTTACCCACAAAATAGTCCACATTAGTGAATTGCCTGAGTTGTTGTTCATAGCATATTGTTCAAAATAAATACAGGTATTGAATTTGCTGAGGTTCCTGGTACTGGCTGCCTCTTCACTGAGGGAAAAAAAATAAGCAGCAGCAATTTATCACTGTCACTAACAAGAGCTTATCCCAGAAACTTAGATTTTTTTTCTCTCCTCTTTCTTACCTCAAGAACTGACTGATTCTGTTGTTACTTAAAAGAACAGCTGTGCGTCTGGGAGTAACATACTCTGAGACAAAAGAAGCACTTCTTATATCTGTGATTTTCTTTATTTCCAGATTCACATATACAAATTCCTATGAAAATTTGGATTTTTTTCCCAATTTTTTTTTAAATTTCCTTGTAGTAGGAACACTACAAGTTCCTACTGGCTCATGCCAAATAGATCGCAGAGACTACCAAGACCATGGATCAAGGTATGCCAGGAAATGGGTAAATGTCTCCTCCACTTCATAGCAGGCAGTCCTCATTTGCAGGAAGGTTAGTTTGGCAAACTCCAGCTCAACGCAGCGTGTGAGCTGGTTTTGCCCACAGTCGCTATGTGAGTGTGAGCTCTGCAAGAATCTGAGGAGAAAACAGTGGCCTCAGAGCAGGGTACCAGAGGGGCAGTCTTCCCTTTTAGCCCCATGAGAGCAAAGATGCCCCAGAGTGTGCTGCTACCAGGGGCTTGCAAAGGGCTGCTTTGCACCCTGATCCTATCAGGCCCCTTGCACAGGGCAGGTCCCCTTCCCTGTTAATGCCTGGGGGAATTATGATCCTCTTCCCATTCAGGGAATAGGTCTGGGGCTGCTGGCCAGAAGAGCAAAGGCTAATGCTGTCTCGCTGCAGCACAGGAGCTGGGCTCCCCTACCGGCCCTGCCAGTGCTGAGGTGACAGCTGCAGGCCCAGCTACATGAACGGAGCAGCTCTCCGTGTAACCTCCTTTACTCGAGTACAGCAGGTTGGCAGTCGCTTGTTTCATGCAGCTGCCAACATTAGGCTTTTACAGGCCTTAAGTAATACCTTATCAGAGGGCAGGGTGGGTACTGTAAGACACACTTGAAAGTCTGGTTGAGGCACCGCACAGCAGCTGCCAGTCCTATACCCAGCTCCAGCTCCTCAGACTCAGCCTGAGAAGGGACTTGCAGTTACCCTCCTGACCATCAGATAAGGGATGTACCACCTCCCACGGCCTTGCCCTCACCACAAACGCTCCCTTCCATGTTTCTTCTAGCTCTTCATGACTAAATACCCCTCGCCCCTTGCCCACCGACAGCTGCTACCCTGCATGGAGCCATCTGTGAAACCACGCTGTGAAGTTCAGCATGCTCTAGGCTCGGTACATCTGATGTGCATCCTTTTCAACCTTCCCTCCACACACACACAAAGTGAAAAGTAAACATTAAGTTTATTCAACAACCTTTACTTTTTTTTTTTTTTTTAAATCTTAAATTATACTTCCAAAATACAAGTTAAAAAAACTTTTGCTAACTTCTACAAAATAATCTAAATAATAATGCACTTACATCATTTACACATTCATCTTCCACAATAAAATAGGAGAGCTTAGATCAATATTTACAATATTGACAGAGGACACGGTTGCACAACCATCTATTTCTGGTGCTGTCTCTTGCTGAATTACCTCTGTGAGACTGCATCCCACACGTGTACACACCTGCATAAATCCTTCTGCAGGGAGAAAACCCCAAAAAAGTCTTTTGAGGTACAGGGACCTGCCCCATATGGTTCTAAAGAGACCAAAATGGTAGCAGCTATTTGCTTTTTCACCTCAAAGCTGCCACTGTAGCACTTAACACACACTGATGAGGTATTTAAGGAATTCCCTGATTTAGAATCTGTTTCACAATATTAGGCACATCATTATAAAAGTTATTTGTTATGGCTTATCCAAGCAATTCACTTTCCTTGGGATAAATACTTGCTGGAGTCAATGGGAGAAACAGACATACTTTGAACCTATATTTTGAGTTAGTCTGTGCTCAAAATTTAGATGATAATACTTAGCATCAGTTGTGAAGGAAATACCTTATCAACACCTGATCTTTCCAGTAAGTCAGGCAGCCAATGTACTTTATCCCAAATTATTGATAACTAAACTTTTCCCTCCTACAATAAGTTAACTACTTATATCCATGCTGTTCAATGTGCCACTGGGTGACATATCCCATGTATGATTGTCTTAAAAAAAAAATACAGTATACTGATGGATTATATACATATTTCAACACATAGAAAATAAAGTTGCAACTTACCGAGTAATAAATATACAACATCAGAGCACAATATTGAACTAAAATAAATTAGAATGGTATTAAAGGCCTCTAAAGGTCTAAGCCAGAGACCACAAAAAAAAAAAAAAAAAAAAAAAAAAGGCAAACATTTTTCCATCCACTTGGAAAGGTTTTAGATATGGCTCCTTATTAACAATGGCTGTTTGAAATGAAGATGTTTAGCCAGGCTGCCAAGTGTTTAGAGACTATATGATCAAACAGCAAAAACTTACTTCAAAAAGGGGCCTTTGGGATAAAATGATTTAGACAAACTGTTAATACTGCATTTATTAGGAAGAAAATAGTTATTGCAGATTGTCTTATCATTTGATTCAGCAGCAAGGAAATAAGCATACAGTTAAGTATAAGAACACAACGTATTTGTGTGACAAATACGCGTTAGTGCACATGATTTTCCAAAACTTCACTCTTCAGCTACATTTGTGCAGATTTGAGAATGCTTCTAACTAGATAGTTTAAAAAAGTCTTTTCATGACTACAGCTAAGTTTTGCCATTAAAAAAAAAAAATAATAATCGTAACCAGAGCTCAATAAGCAGCAACTTACTCAAAGCTGTCCAGACAGGAATGGTGCCAAACTTCTGATCCAGATACATCAGAACACTGAGAAGTTTGGAATCAAACTAAAGAAATAAAAGCAGTGAATCTGCCCTGAGAATTGCACGCTCACCAGGTCTGTAAACTCTGTATGACGCCCTGTTCACTAGCAGAGGCAGAGCTTCAGTTTCTCTATGCAAAGCAGCGCAGGTGCCTTGTCTGTACTTGACTTCACGGTTCCTTTTTCCCTTCCTTGAGGATTAGGCATTTAAAGCATTTCAGTAGCTCGAGAGTCTGTGCCTGAGGGGCTCGGGGGCTACATGGACGGCGGGGTGACGGGTGTCCACGTGGACGCCAGCCTCGCGTGCGCGGAGGCCTCGTACTGGCTGTCGGGGAGGTCCGAGCCGGCGCCGCCGTCGTAGAGCGGCGACGCGGAGGCGGCGGCGGCCGCCGCGTGAGGGAGGGCCGTGGAGTGCGCTGGGGAGCCCCGCAGGAACTGCGGGCTCAGGCCGCTCGACATCGCGCTCGACTGCGACACCGGCGTGATGGTGCTGTTACTCACGGACCACAAGTTGGGGTACTGACTGAGGGAGAGAGGGAGAGACAGCACAGATTACTGGCGATGCCAGCTCCTGGGGGTGGGTGCCCGGATCACACCACCACCGCGAGGACAAACGCGTTTGTCACCGATGGGGAATTTCTGCCGGAAGCTCCCAGCTGTTGCAAAGCAGAAGGTGCCCTTAGACTAGACAGCTGTGCTCATGGCACCCCACTAACACATAAAACAACTGCAATTTCCAACAGCAGGTTCCGACACTGGGTGTGCTAGTGATTTGGAGGCCAAGCTGAGGACTTGACAAGCTGCGCTGAGAAATGCTGATTCCTGACACCCTCACCTGCAGGGACAGCAGTGTGGCAGAGCTGGCTGGGCACAGCAGCTGTTGCAACCAGGCATTTTTTATCTGATACCGCAAGTCCCCCTTGGGTCTCTCCATAGTCAGAGACAATTCCACATGGCAATTCAGGCTTCCTAGGACCTTGCTCATCACCTCATGTTAGAAGAGACATCTACAGATGCACACGTTACTGGGATACTCCCATACTGGCCTTTTCTGGAAAGTGCCTTGTCAAGACCTTATAGCCTCCATACTCCCTATCCTTCTCTGTATAGGCCACATATATGTTTTTGTATGTGCATCTGTATATTCATATATATATATACTTGTGTGAACACACACATAATGAAAATAAGCAAGTTGATCCTAGAGAAATATTATGAGAACAAACGCAATCCTTCTGAGGAATACCACACAACACTTTTCACTTATAGATCCCAAACTATTTATCAAAAAATAAATATTTTTCTTTACTTCATATATAGGAGGCTAGACAAAAGGAATGGCAGAAAAGCCTTCCTTAAGGTCCTATAGTTCCAGTTCTGCTGGTTTTATCTACTGGATGACTGTTAGTGCAGCAACTGACACTCAGTGAATTTTGCAACTTTAAAAATATGCTGGGGGTCAGGCTTGAAAAGAAGTGTTTACATGCTAAATGTAAGAGTGCTCTCCGCATCCTGATCTGAATTGCCAAAAAAGATGTCCAAACCTCATCTCTCTGGTTTACAGCAAAATTTGTGTCCTTCACCAAGTTTCCTCAAATTATCAAGTTTAGCTCCAAGAGACTGACCACAAGATAAATCTGAGCTGAAGAATCAAGAAGTTTAACTGAGAGAAAAGATACATTTACATGATCATAGAACAAAGATTTTTTTTTCTTTTTAAACCAAGTGAATAATTCCACACTGGCTTAGAAATTTGACATTCGAGAGGGAAAAAAAAAGTCCTACCCCAGCCAGTGCTCCGCACTGCCCCTCCATTTGTAGCAGAGGAAAGGTTTGTGGAGACATATGGGAAAGTGATGGCTGGCCAAAATGAAAGTTTTAAAATAACCTTTTAGAACACATTTTCGCTAAAAAACAAAATGAGATGAATTTGAAAAGAGCATCCTCAAATTAAATGGACATTTGTTTAAGTGATCTATGTTTCTTTAATCTATATGATACCATTGCCACAAGCATCTATATTTCCAAAACCAAAACATCAGAAAATAATTGTTTGTCTCTCCAATCTGCTTTCCCTGAAAATAGTCAATTTCAGTACTTTCCCTGCATGGATAGTAGTGAGGATTTGTAATTTGATATGAGGATTCTACCTTGTTCTTCCTTTTTCACTTATTAGAAAGCATCAGTAAGCTGATTTGGGGGCTGCTAAGGGCTGGACCCCTACCTGGAGCTGGTAGCTGTGCCAGTGCTGTGACTCATGGGCAGCATAGCCGTGTGTGTGGGAACTCCTAGACTGGACCAGTTGTCATGGGACTGGAGCATGGAAAGGCAGGCAGAGGAATTGTCGGTATAGGCTGCTGCGAAAACAAACAAGCACTTCAACACATTGAAAATCAGAGCAAATAATCTTTTATTCAAATGAAATGCATAGCATTAAATTAACCTTCCCCACTATTTTTTCTGCCTTGAGGGAAGGGCAGAGAAGAAAAAAGAAAAAACCCACAACACATACACATAAAATAAAATCAGCCAGGCAATGCCATGAAAATTGGAAGCTGATGTACTGTTTCACTCAGCTTACACCAAAGCCTTATTTCTGTAAACAATCTACAGACAAAAAAAGCTGTCTTCAAGACACCTACTAATTCAGGACATGGTTATTCAGTCAGTGAGAGAGGCAAGTTTGTTACTTAGCTCTGTCCCAATCTCTCTTCCAGGGCACTTTTCATAGCCATCACCTGCACGGGCAGCACCCGCCTGCCAGTCCTGGGTCACAGGAACTTTGAATCGCACATCCCAGTTCTGAGCTGATGGGCCAGTTTAGCAGAAACACTAGGAAACTAGAACAGGAATCCTGTTCAGCCGTCCATAGCCAGAAAAGACTCCCTGCAGCAGCTGGTTTTAAGGGAAGGAGCTTTTTTTGCTGAGGAAAGTGGAGGAGCACAGGAGGGACTGTGTTCTTTTATTTTGTTTCAGGTGGCAAACTGAACACAGAATTTCAAGATGGTTAAAAACCCACAGACAACTAGTTCTCCCCTTTAAAATGAATTACAAAGCTATATATAGCACTGACCAGGCTGTGCCTGGAAAAAATATGTATTCATTCGTAATTCAAAATATATTTCTCTTTAAAGAATGACTTCAATACGCACTACAGGCCAATAGGCAAAATTGTTAATAAGCCTTTGGTAGGAAAGAAAAAAAGTCACTGTTCAGAAAAGTCCTATTCTCTTCCTCTCAAGTCCAGACCATATTTCTGAGCACAAAAATCAAACTGTTATGCAATTTACTCAGCTCTATATTGCTACTGTGTGCCCAGTTCTGACATATGGAGGCTAAACATTTCTACATACAGATTGCAGTAGCTTATATCACTGCCAGTCCGATCAACAGGAGGAGGCCTTCAGTTATTTGCTTAAATATGTTAATAACAAGTGACTTAACAGAATGGGACATATGCTTATTAGTTTTATTGTCCTTCTTGTAAGTAAGGATTAAAATTCTCATTTTCAAACTTAAACTTTTTTGAAGTCAAAATAGATTTAAGCTCTCTAGTTATTCTAACTCAAAAGCACACAACAAAGCTAGCACAGTGTAACCTAATTAATTAACAGGAGACAGAGCTCTACACAGCCTCCCTTTTCCCACTCTAAGGGCCCTGGGAAACCTACTCATTGCAATTACCCCTTTGCAACAGCGGCCCCAAGCAGAAGCTCAACCAGGCAGCGACCTCAGTTTCTGTGGCCTCAGTACGGATCACAGTGGTTCAACCACTCAGGGCCTGGGTGCCCTGGCTAACTTCCCATCTTCACACACCTGCAAAGCAAGACTTACTTGGTGAGTTGTTCCGATGGGTGTAGGGGCTGGGGTAGGGGGCCGAGCGGTGGTTCCTCAGCGATGAGTACCTCTCACAGCCATGAGCAGGGGAGAGCGACAGCGGGGCTCCAAACTGAGCGTGAGGGTTGGCAGGGGGGCACAGAGCCCCGCTCCCAGGAATCAGCCAACTGCCTACTGGGGGAAAGGGAGAGTTCTTGTAAGGACAGAGCAGCCAGGCAGCCCTGCTGCGCCAGGAGAAGACACCAGTCACCAAGGTGAAACGCACGCTCACAAAAGGAAACCCAGTGGCAGCACACCTGAAAAAATGGATCTCAAAACCTTCTTAAATGATCACATGAAGGAAAAAGTGTTGTTTAAAAGGCTAGGTATAGAACTAACACTTTAAGACTGCCATTTAATTACAAGCACGGTAAGCAAGCAGTGAAATGGTTAAACGGTGCTTAAGCAAGGCCTGCGCATTCTCCATGCTCGGCAGAGGTTGGCATATCCTCAGTTTTAAGTTGCACTTTTGGGGTCACAATTCAAAGCAATGCTTTGAGGTTTCCCAAACTGCTAAGAATATTCCTTAAAGATTGTTACAGTTATGTTTTAACAATAACTCTTCAAAACAGAAATCAAAAATTCTAATGCTTTTTTTGCAGACCTGAAAAACTAACTTTTTAAGTAAATGCATCCAATTTTCCCAAAATACTTTAAACAGAATTCTGAACATATGGAATACATTTTGGATTAGATATAATAGGTAACATAAAATCACAAACCTTTACAAGCAGCATTTATAAGGGTTGGTAATATTATTCTCTCATAACTTATAGGATGAACTATGCCAGTCAACAAACATTTTCCTCTAGGTTTTGCTTAATGTAATTGATAAGATGGAAGAATACAGCATTATGTACATAATAAAGAGCAAAAGCAAGCATACATTGGGAATATCCAGACTGTTGGTTGTCTCCCACTTCCTCCATCATGTCTTTGTGATCGCTTCTGTAACAGAAAACACCCTGAATTAGTTATGAGTATGGTTTCACAAATCTTGACAAAATTCCACAAACTTTATAACTGAGTGTATTTAGGAGGTCTCACCTTTCTTTTGCATCAAGAAATGCCTTCGCAAATGGATTGTATTTAATTTTTAAAGCTGTGATCTAAAAACAACAACAAATATCTTAATTTGCAAGTATCACTATTCATTATCATATAAAAATTAAAATTTGACTTAAAATTACCCATTGAAGCAAGTGAATCCACTGGTTCCAAAGATACAAGAGTAGGGCCATAATGCAAACCTCCATGCATCACTTAACATCTACAACCCTAGGTGTGTGTGTGTGTATATATATATATATATATATATATATATCGCTTAAACAGCATTTATATGTCTTAAATATTAGCAAAAGACTAGCAATTCTGCCCAATTTTAAAGGAAACCCATCACCAGCTGACTTAATGACTTGGGTTCATTAACAACCTAAAGAAAGAGTTCAGACAGGTAACATGCTAAAGACACTTCTAAAGAGCTGCAAATTTCAGGATAGAACAGAACAGGCAACAGAGATTCAATAAACAGAAAACATTATAGAATCATTAAATGTAGACATTTTGGCTAACAATCAGTTTTTAAAATGACATGTCCAATTATTTCACTGCGTACTTAGAAATGACAATCATATCTCATCATGCTTCCTTGACCCATGGATTAGTTGCAGATTATTACCCTTGTACGGTAAGTTTGCCGTATATATTGAGAAGTTAGAACCTTGCATTATTCCACATTCACAGAGCTTCACATAGATTAAATTCACTTTTATATTCAACTCCTAATGAAACACAGAGAAGTGGAAAAGAAAAGTGCCAAGGAGCTCGTTATTTTGTTTTGTAACTTGCACTTTACCACCTGAAGGGATGCAAGTACAGGCGGTTTCTTCCCTGCCGTGCATACCTCCTCATTCTGGTATGCTGTCACCGCTATAAACTGTGTCTCCGGGAAGGAATGGCTGGTGATCATCCGCTGCGGGCCACCCACTCGGACGATGTGAATCCTGGGCTCGTACTTGTGCAGGGAGTTCAGCATGATCTGAGAGGAAGCGGAGAGAGAAGTTAGGCAGTGATGGAGGAGAGGCAGCTCACGATGCACATGGAAAGTGCTTAAAGTAACTCCAGATCCATCCGTCTTTCTAGCAAAGAAGAGGCAACAAGTCTCAATAAATCCTGCGGCTGAAGCCACAAGGAAAAGATGATGTTTCGGCCAGACACCCCAACATTCAGCTCCGTGCTCATGAGCTGGTACTTCTGGCAGGGCAGCTCATGCAGCCCCGTGCACGCAGGGACAGAGGCACCTGTGTCACCAAACATTCAGGGAGAAAAGATGTGAAAGAACCGAAACGAGGTGCCCACCCTGCCCAAAGCTGAGTCCTGATGGAAAGGAAACGAAGTGCTCAGGAAAAAACAGACAGACCAGCAGCCCGCCCGCCACCCCAGCGCGCCGGCAGGGCAATATGTGCCCAAAGGGGCAGCGAGGGGGGCAAAGCAGGGGCTCAGCCTGCCGCGCGCGGCGGCCCTCGGCGCAAGTGGGGGCTGGCGTTAGTAGAGACAAGCTCTGCAATCGCTCGGTGAGAAGTTCAGAACCACAACAAAAAAAGCTAAAATCTCTGCATGAAACAGCTGACAAAAAAAAAAAAAAAAAAAAGCATCACAGTAAAAGTATCTCCCGCCTCAGCCTGCTTGTCCGCACTCAGTTCCTGCCGTTGTCTCCCAATCTCGGCAAGAGCCCGGTCCGTTACAAGAGGCTCAAATTTGTGCCCTGTCGCTCGTCTAGGGAGAGGCTTCACCCAGGAAAGCCGCCGACACGCGCAGCCACGACGGCTCCGAGCCGCGCTACCTCCGCCAAAAAAAAATAATAATAATTAAAAAAAAATCCCCAAATCGGATCGATAATTGGCGACTTCGTTTCTTACGACATGAGAAACTCGCGCAAGTTTCCGCGGGCAAGGCTGAAGTTTTGCCTTAGGGGGCGAGGGGGGCACTCGCCAAGGCGCGGGGCTCGCGCGGCCGCTGCTTGGCGCCGAGGCGAGGGGGAGAAAGGGGCCTCCCCAGCCCCTGCCTCCCGCCGCTGGATTTAATAGTTTGAATTCTCGGGGGCTGTGGTGTGAGGGAAGCAGTTTATTACCTTTCTGTGAGAATCTCCGCAGAGAGGGCGAGGGGGAGAGAGGTGACAATGAGCAGGAAATAGTTCAATGGGGTCTCTTTAAACAATAACAAGTTCTTTAAATGGGCGCAAAGGCGAGGGGAAAGAAGCGGCGCGGTGTAAAAATAAGGGCTTTCTTTAAAAATACGCTTAATGCCGCTCTCCCAACACCGTGCCTCGTTGCTACTGGAATTTTAGGATTTTATCTTCAAGGAAAAGTGCCTAGCGGACCCCCTGGAGCACGAGTGGGATCGGAGGTCTGGGGGGAAAGGCTCGGGAAAGGGCAGCGCTTTGCGCGGCGGGGAGAGCGGCTCGGCCCGGGCGCCTCGAGCTCCTGCGCGCGTCGGAGCAGCAGCCCGAAAGGGTCTCGCTTCAGCCTAACTGCGAGTAACCCCAGAGCTCCCGCTACGAATTTGCAGTTTCTGTTTGGTTTAGGAGCTGCGACTTACGGCTCTGTTTTCATTACACAGCCCCGTCGAGTAGTGCAAAATTAACTTACTCGATTCGGTAGTGCTTAAAAATAAATAAATAAATAAATAAATAAAAGCGATTTTAAATGCCGAATCTCAACTCTTTTAATTATTCTCCAGAAAAAAAATAAAACACGGAAAAAAAAGTTCCTAAAAGTTCCTGCAGTTAAGCTTCCTAAAGCTTTTTTTTTTTTTTTTTCGTAAATACCTACCGATCGTTTTTTTTTTCTTTAATCATCTGTAGACAGACAAAGCCACACTTTCAAGAAACAACAGAACTGTATTAGGCATTTATTTCTCTCAATGTACTGCATTAAAAACAAAGACAGAAGCGTCCAAGCAAAAGCAACATCAAACGCCGAGAGTTGCCTTTCGGGAGGTGAAATTTCCCATATCTGCTCAGTGCCAGAGTCCAGCACCATGAGAAGCGACTCCCAGAGAGGGTCTCTCGCACTCCGTGCAGGTGAAGGGGGTGAAGAGGCTTTTCCCGCTGTCGCAAAACCCATTTCCCTTTCAGGATACAGTCGGGGGGTGGAAGAGATGGTTGTTGCTGCTGCTGTTGTTGTAATGGATTCAGTGTAGGGCAAATCCCGGTCTAAAGTCTGTTTCACCTAGCAATAAATATATTCAAGTGCGGAAAGTAGCAGAAAACTGGAATTGAAAGCCATTTGGCGCTTTTAGTGAGAAATGAATGATTTTTAAAAAAGGAAAAAGAAAAAGAAAAAAAGTAAGGCTAATCTGAATATGTATTTAGGATATCTGAGTTTAAAACAAAACATTATTCTAGTTCCCCCGTATTAGTGCTTCAAGGAATGGCTAATTCCAACTACACATAAATACAAGGAATGATACATGGGAAGCGACCTTAGCCCCTTTGATAACAGAAATGTTACCTATCATCTGATCAATTCCTTAACTTTTTGCACTGATCATTCTCTTTAGGCAACAGAAGGAGAGTTGAAATCGAATTTAATTCAGCACCTTTCACTTTGCCAGGACAAAGTTACATGTTTCACTTGACTGAGCCGTGCATCCCACGGAAATCTGGCATGTACTCCACTTTAGTTGGTCCTTCAAAAGTCTGTCTAGCTTTACATTTTAAATTACAAAAATAGAAAGAGAATGCTTCCAAAAGCATTCCATAATCTTTAGAGCAGAAAACAAAATACTAAGTTTTTGTTGTTGCTGCTCTCTCAGCTTGTACTCCTGCCCTCTTTTTCATTTTATTTCCTCCTCCCTCTTTCTGATCTTAATTGCACTTTGGTTCTCAGGAGAGAAAACTCCCCGCTCTCACAGCCCTTTCAGCGAAGGCTGCCGTGCATGACAGTTTACAGCCAAAAAACTTCCTCCAGCCGCACGGCTGTAAAGACTCCCCGTTTATAGCAATGCTCTCCTCTCGCATAGGGCGAGCTGCAGCCTCCAGCGGTTACCTCGGCCCGGGGGACGTGCCCCTCGCTCCCTGCCTCGAGCCCCTGGCAGCCCCCGAGCTGGAGGCAGCCCCGGCCGCTCCGGCAGCTCCAGGGCACCGGCTCTGCCCGGGCTTTGCTCGCCCGGGGATGCAGAGCGAGCGGAGCAGACCGGGAGGACGCGCAGCTACCAGCGTCCCTGCTGCTCCACCAGGCTCCCTGCGCACTCGTGCGCACACACACGTGCCCCGCACACACACACACACCGCACACACACACATGTGCCCCGCACACACACACACACACACACGTGCCCCGCACACACACACACGTGCCCCCGCACACACACACACACATGTGCCCCGCACACATACACACACCCCGCACACACACACACACGTGCCCCCGCACACACACGTGCCCCGCACACACACATGTGCCCTCGCACACACACACA